CCTCTCTTGGCCAGGCTTGGGCGCGACCTCTGGGTGAGAGGTGCAGAGTGGGAGTTGGCCCTTGGAGTCCAACAAACTGAGATCCCCTTCCAGTTCTTCCCTTTTCTGCTTGTCCTCTTGGGCTGGTCCCCAGGCCTCACAGGGCAGTTATGAGGACTCACACAGGGAAGGTCTGTGACACCCACAGTGCTCAGTTTCAGGAGTCAGCCCGGGTCCCTTCTCTTCCCTTCTCTGGGCTGTGGCAGGTGGGGTGTAGATTCAGCCAGCAGGGGTCGCTGCTGCCAAGGTTGACCCTGCCTCTGGGGTGCATTCATTCATTCACTCATTCTTCCTCTCTCCCTGCAAACGGCTCCTGTGTTTCTTCCCTGCCAGGTAGTTTTTGAGGCAATAATGACTGCAGAGAGGGTGAGGCCCAGCCCAGTTCTCAAGTAGCCTGCAGTCAGGAAGGGATACCATGGTGAAGAAGTGAATAGACAGGAGCTCAGAGGATGGAAAACAACCGTACAGAGTCAGAAAGCTTCTCAGAGGAGGAGGCTTTTGAACTTGGCTTTACATGATGAGCAGTGATTTGGCTCCTACTCTGCAGACCCTGACACCTCCCTGCAGTTCCAAGCCAAGGCCACCTGAGTGTTCATAATCGCCATCACTCCCCCTCCCTCCAGGTCACCAGCTTCTGTGAGCCCCAAACTTCAGGTCCTGGTCAGCTGCTCAGAGTTGGAGGCCAAAGAGGCTGCTTGGGTACAAAGTGAAGAGTGTGCACCTGGATGTAGGTTTGGAAAGCCCAGGCTTTGGAGCCTGACAACTGAGGCTCCCTACCACTTCCTAGTAATGTATCCTTAAGGCAAGTCACTTCACTTTCCCCACTCCCACTCCAACCTCAGTTTCCTCCCTGTAAAATGGGCATAATAACAGTCCTTAACTAGATTGTATTTCTTCGGTGTGGTTCCCTTGGTACCCATCTCTCTGATCCATAAACTGGCATATTCTGTTAACCATCTCATTCCATCCCATGGGGGGGCCATGCTATTCCCCCTGGAACAGGGAGCAGGACGCTATCCTGGAAGCCCTGCCCAGACTCAGCCTTGCTTTACTTTGGGAAGACCACCTCAGGTAATAGTGTCAGAGCCACAGAATTTTCACGAAATGGGTGGAATTCTAGAAAAGTTATCTTCCAAGTCTCAGGAGTGAGTCACCAGGGAGAAGCTGGGGGAGAAGCCCTCAATCTTTTACCTGCAAAGGGCATCTCTCTGGGTTGATTTACAAATTCAGTGGTAGGCAGTGTGGGCTGTATCCAGTTCCACCACTTATCAGCTATGTGACCTGACAGATTCAGGCTTCCCTGAGCCGCTCGCTCCTTATCTGTCAAATGGTGGTTATAGTAGCCCCCAGCTCTTGTGGACTGTCTCTGTCATCTGTTCAACAGCCCTCTCCTTCCATGGGATCTCCTTCTCCTCCAAATGCTGGTTCATCCAGGGCTGTCATGGCTTCCCTGAGCCTGTCCATTGGCCATAGGTGACTGGCCCACAGGTGGACACCTGACTAGAGCCAAGCCAGACAGAAGCCTTCCTTGTCCTGTTCTGTTTCTTTTTGAGTCAAAATTGAGAAGAAAAAAAAAGGCTGTGAGAATATGAGAGACTCAGGACTTGTCATTGGCCAAATGTCCTCCCTCATGACAGAATTAGTGGAGAGATACTGAGAGAGTCAGTCCTGGTAGAATTTGGATCAGTTCTGGCTGTGCCTAGGCCCAGGAGCCCTGCTCACAATCTGGAAGCTCACCCTTCCCTTAGCTTCTCAGAGTCGCCTCACTGGTTGGTATTGGTTTCTAAAGATACACTTTCTCACAGGGTTGTATTTAGGATCGAAAGTGTGTGAAGCGCTGAGCCCAGAGCCTGGCATGCTGCAGGCTCAGGAGGCATCAATTCCTTTCCCTTAACAGGCACCAGGCAAGGACGGGGTTTGGCAAGATACCAGAAAGATGTGAGGCATTAGCAGTAGTGAAGTGATGTAACTCAGCAGCTCCTGGCAAACGAAAGTCAGGCATCTTGGGACCCCGCAGAGCTCCACAGAAGACCAGAATAAATGCCCAAGTGCAACAGTTCATCCATAGGAAAAGGATGGGACTAAGAAAAAAACTCCTGTCCACATCTTTGTGGGAGGAAAAGTTGTCCCTCTGTGCCAGGGATGTCTGCTGGAGTCCTTGGAGGTCCAGATGGACACCAGGAAAGACTTTCCAGAGAGGGACATTTAAGCTGGGTTTTAAAGGATGAATAAGAGTCTGACAAACAGGAAAAGGGTTTGGAAAGGGACACTAGACTATCACTACTAAATCTATTAATACGAAGCTCATCAGTATGAAGATTCAGACAGCCTGGGTTTGAATCCTGCCACAACAAACCTTCAGACTCTTCTATGCTTCCATTTCTTACCTCCAAAATAATGAAATGGGGAGTTGCTCATTTTTTTAGTATTAAATGAAATAATATATGTGAAGCACTCAGAACAACGTGCTGGCAGAAAGCTGTGGTTAAGCACTAAATAAATGTTTAGCTCATTATGAGAAGCTGTTACATTGTCAAGGCCAACCCCCTTTAAAAGATTAGAGTTGTTACCATTTATTGAGCCCTTAGTAAGTTCCAAGCATGGTGCTAAATGCTTGGCATGCTTTGTCTCTTTTGATCCTCCCAACAACTACAGAAGATGTACTAGTATCCTCATTAAAGATGGAAAAACAGAGGCTCTGAGAGATCAAGATTACATAGCCAGTGTGGAATTGAGCAGGTGCAAACCCAGGTTTGTCTAAGGACCCATGGCCTTGCCCCAGATAGAGTAAAGGACTAGCCTCAGGACACAGAGCAAGGTTCTGGGGCGCCAGGATTTCTTTACGGACAGACTCAAGGGCAGTAATCTGATTGCGGGCCCTTGGTTTGTCTCCCTGTTTAGGACAACGCGTCCAGTGCAAACATCAGAGAAGTAGAGGTGGCTGATGGAGGTTACTGAGGGATCCGCCAAGCCCTCTCCTCTCCAGGGCGGACCTCGCGGGCCTTGGGCTCCCTGGCCCGGGAACAGGGGTAGGGAAGCGCTGCGTCCACCCCCCTGCAGGATCAGGCCTCCAGCAGGGCTGGCAAAGCCGGAGCCTCGAGACCGGGCCACGCCCCTCTTCCCCTCCCTTTCCTAACCCCCACTGCTTCCGCCAAAGATCCTTGCAGAAAATTCCAGCCTCGCCCCTGGAGCGGGGCTTTTCCAGCTGGGTGGGAGCAGCCGGGCGTGTCCTGGCGGCGGAGGCTGCGGAGGGGGCGTTGAGCCGACAGACCCGCTGCCGCTGCTGCTCGGGACTCCCTGTCCGTCACCGTCCCCAGGGCCCCCGGCCGGCCTTGGCTCCTTGGGGACGGGCGGGACGGCCAGGGAAGCCCGGCTCGGGCTCGGGCTCGGGACGTCCTAGCAAACAGGAAGTGAAACAAAGGCGGTCGCTTTTCGGTCGCCCACATTCCTTTCAGGTGATGCCCAAACGGTCGGCGGGGGACTCGGCTGGCCCTTAGGGACTGCTTCCCCTCAGTGATTCCAGCTCCCCTTGCCTTCCCGATCAGCTAGGGGTGGGGACAAGGAGGAAATTCTTGCCATGGGAGGTCCCATCCTCAGGCGTAGTCTCTCTGGGCTCCTGGAAAAGCAGCGCACCGTACTGACATCTGTGCCTGAAGAGATGGGCTGGGGCTACAGTCTTAGGAGGGAAGTGGAGGGTCATGTTAACTCAAGCATTCCACAAACTAACGCCACCTTATCGAGTGTACAAATGTGGGTACCAGGACCCACCAATGAATCAGGCCCAGTCCCTACCCTCAAGGAAGGATAAGTGAAACACTGGATGGAAGGGCAGGGTGCAGATGAGTTCAGGGAGGGGGTGTCTAAAACATGCTAAATGAGGTTGGGGTAGTCTGGGGACGCATGGGTCCCTTGCATAGCACCTCAGTTACTCTGCACCAGTACTGCCTGATTGAAGGAACCCTGGCTTTGAAATAGCAGTGGGACAGGGGTGGAAAAGCATCTAGATTGGGAGGACCGCAGAAGCAAATGCCCAGTGGTCTGTATGTGTACTGGACATTGGGGAGCAATGAAGAATCTGGAGTTGCCTGGGCCCTGGGTGAAGAAGCTGGCGAGAAGGCCAGTGAGGTGGGTCCTGATGGCCTTGAAAGCCAGGCTGAAGCCTGGGCTTATTCTGCTGGCACTGGGAACCTGGGGAAGTGAGGTAGGGAGACGGCTCAGAGAGGCAGACCCAGCCTGGTCTAGGGGCAGGGGAAAGAGAGGGGGGCCCCTTCGCCTGGGTGGCTTGAAGAGGCTGATCTGCAGAGACAGAGGTTCCAGCTTCTGTGGGACTGTGCCCCCCTTGCCTGCTGGGCACTGGCGCCAGTACTGCTGATTGGTGGGTTGGACTACCCCCCTCAGGCAGCGCTGACTCAGCGTCTGAGACGTGGTTCCCACGGGCCCAGGTCTCTCTGGGGGCCAAAGGCCATGCCATCCGTGCCCCACCTCCAAGCGGGTCAGTGTCCGGAGTCATTGACAGGGCTACATGGAGGCTAAGATTTTTAGTCCACCCACCCCTGCCACCCAGCAAGGCCTCAGGCAGTCCTTTCTGCTGTCTAAGCATATGCCACCTCAACTCTGGCCTCACTTTCCACGCCTGGAAGTTATGAGAATACCAGAGTTATCAATACTTTGTTTTTATTTTAAAACAGTGAAAAGAAAAATAAATATCTTTGAAGAATAAGACTACAGGGGTGGAGCGGGGAAGTGGGGCCAGAGACTTGGGAGTGCCCTGGCTTCGATGGTCTTGCGTGGGGGTGCCGGGGCCTGGGATGTGCCGGCCCGCTCCTCCCCAGCCAGGCCTTGC